ACTGGAATCAAAACTCCTCAGCTAAATTATTCATTCTGGGAACAGGCAGGCCTGAAGCATTTATTAAAGACAACACGACAATCCTTTGACTTAAATTTGAATGCTCGGTATGAGAAAAACAAAGACATGCACGTAATCCCACTTCCTTTAGCAACAGTGCATGAAGCACTTAATAAATACATCATTTTCTTCAATAAACATTTTGAGAGAGGAAGAAACATTGCTTTGGATTTTCTCACGAAGTCATATAATGAAGCCAAAACAAAATTTGACAAATACAAAATACAGACATCACTGAACAAACTACCACGCACCTTCAGGATTCCAGGATATACCATTCCAATTGTGAATATTGAGGTTTCTCCTTTTACCGCTGAGATGCCAGCCTTTGGTTACATGCTCCCAAAAGAAATAAGCACAACAGGATTCACAGTTCCATTTATTGGCTTTTCAGTACCCTCTTACACACTAGTCTTACCTTCTCTGGAGCTTCCAGTTCTTCACGTCCCACAGGATCTACGCACTCTAAAGCTTCCTAGATTCAGAATCAGCAGCTCGTCAAACCACATCTTAATTCCTGCCATGGGAAATATTACTTATGACTTGTCATTTAAATCCAGTGTGATCACTTTAACTGCAAATGCCGGGCTGTTCAATCAGTCAGATATTGCTGGGCAACTCAGTGTCTCATCCTCTTCTCTCTTTGATGCACTGCAGTTTAAGCTGGATGGTTCAACAAGTTTGACAAGAAAAAGGGGATTGAAGCTGGCCACAGCGTTGTCCCTGACCAATAACAAATTTCTAGGAGGAAATCATGACAGCACTATTAGTCTCACAAAGAGGAATTTGGAAGCTTCAGTGGCAACAAATGCAGAAATCAACACACCAGTTTTAAAAATTAATTTCAGCCAAGAACATTTTGGAAATACTAAGTCTAAACCACCTCTTTCCTCAGGGCTAAAATTAATGTATGATTTTAATACTCCTAAATATGGCACCAGTGCTAAGGGAAGAATTGCTCACAAACTAGCATTAGAGAGCCTTACATCTTACATATCAGTAGAAGCTTCTACAAATGGGGATATTGACGGAGTATTTTACACTGGAAATGCATTTTCTGGAAGTCTAGACCATGAGGCAAACACCTATCTGAATGCTAATGGAGCTCGATCATCTCTTAAGCTTGAAGCCCACTCCAAAGTGGATGGACTCTGGAATGGTGAAATGAAAGAAATACTTGCAGTTGAAGCATCTACCCATCGTGTTTATGCAGTCTGGGATCACAATGGGAGGAACTATGCACGATACACACCTCTTTTCACAACAACAGGGTCTCAGAGATGCAAAGCAACCGTAGAGCTGACTCCTTGGGCTATGTCAGCAGATCTTCATATTCAAGCCACTCAGCCAAATTCCTTCCTGGACACAGCCTCAGTTAATCAAGTTGTCATAACGAAAATCAGTACTGCAAACCAGAAAGTTGCCTGGAAGGGTAAAGGCCAAATTCAGTCATTATCTGTCAGTCATGATATGCAGTTATCAAATGAAAAATCAAAGGCAAAGTTTGATATTTCTGGGTCTTTGGAAGGATACATGGACTTCCTCAAAAACATAAAGTGTCCTATTTCTGAGAAGAGCTTATGGGATATCTTGAAGTTGGACGTCACTACCAGTGTTGACAGAAAACAGTACTTAAATGGTTCGGCATCCCTCGTGTACACAAAGAGTGAGGATGGTTACTTTTTCCCCATACCTGTGAATAAGCTGACCGATGGCTTCACTTTCAGGATTCCTGAGTTACACCTAAAGGCTCCAAGCCTTGTTCTCAGCACTCCAGAGTTCAGAGTTCCTTTCACCACTCTCCAGGTCCCAGCATACACCGTTGACTTGCGCAGCATAAAAATTCCACAGACACTAAACACAATGCCATTTGATGTCAATTTACCCACACTGCCAAAATTAAGATTCCCCAAAGTGGATGTAGGCACCGATTATATTACATTAGAAGAATATAAAATACCATATTTTGAGGTGACAATACCTGAATACCAAATAACTGTGTCTCAATTCACTCTTCCAAAGAGTATTTCTCTTGGCAGTTTTCATGTAGATCTGGATGAAGTAGCTAATAAGATTGCAGATTTTGATCTGCCTACAATTACAATTCCTGAACAGAAAATTGAGATCCCTCCTCTCAAAATATCCTTGCCTGCTGGAATTTACATCCCATCATTTGGTGCCTTGACTGGATCTTTCAAAGTTGCTTCCCCTGTGTACAATGTCACCTGGAGAACAGACTTGGCAAACAAAAAGGACTCTTTTGAACAGTCCATTGATTCTACCTGCAGCTCAACATTGCAGTTCCTGGAATATGACTTGAATGGTAAGACGTTAATATTCTATATGCCACAGTTTTGCAGCAAATACAATATACTGGGTTTTTTTTCAGTTCGGTGTTTTGGTTTTTTTTTCCCAGGACTTTGCATATGAAGGTGTTGCTGTCTATTTAGCATTGACATTAGATTATTTCTTTAATCAGAGTCTCAGTCAGTCACCCTGAAGGCTAATGACTGGATATATGTATAATTAATGGCATACTGTGGAAAAAATGGAAAAGATCTCTTTTCTGTGTAGCAGTTCCTTACTTTATGTTGTGCACAACATGACATTCCCCCATTACTTGCAACAACACATGTAAAGGAGAGGGCAGGCTGACTTTTTATCTGATTCAGTTCAGATGAATAAATACGTATCTTTTTCCTTGGGAACCAAGCATATTTGATTTCAAAAAAATTATTTGAACTTGGAAAACTCTGGAGTCCCATATAGTATTGAGTTCTAGACTTTATAATAATACTAAAAATATATGTCAGAATAAAATTCTAAAATCTCAAGAAATTAGAATTCCCATTTATGATTTCCATGAATGCAAAGTGTGATATCCATTTTGTTCTATACATAGATGAAAACTGAATTTTAAAGTACTCCAGTTGAACAAATATTTTCATAGCTTTTTATTTGGGGTATTATAAGCATTCAGTTTCTTGATGCATAATTTTACGTACTGCTGAAACAGCCCACAATTGGCTATCTAACATATATCTGGACATGTATTTCGTCTTGTTTGCTGGTAAGTTCTGGAAATACATACATTTGAAATCTTTTTCACAGTTGTTTCAAACTACAAGTATGAAGAAGGCATGTTTGTTATGAAAACAACTGGCAGCTTTTCACATCGTGACATGAGCGCAAACTACAAGGAAGATCTTACTGTTTCGGGAATTAGGTAAAGATTTGCTCTAATAATATAATTTATAATAGACAGAATTGCCAGTGATGTATTGTTGCTTTGATCTCTAATGCCCCAGAGTGTTTTGCTGTAATTACTAAGAACCTATGTAGCTACCCTGTCATTATCAGATGTGACTTTTTCTCTCAATAGCTGGAAAGCTGTTCCCTCTCAGCATTTCTAGAATAGCTTTTCTCAGCAGCCCCATTTCAGAAAACTGCTGAGATGTAAACACAGTATTTTCTGTTCAGAGCAGTTCTAGATCTGACCATCAACATATAGGGTTTTTTTCACTGGAACCCTCTGGCACCACAAGCCATTAAAGAGCACTTTTTTATTCACAAGTACCAGTACTAAGGATTATGCACTTGGCCTTTGAACTGCCTGTTTCGATCTGCAAGTGTTGTGTTGACGTATCCAAGCGACACAAGTCTGTGAAGGCGAGTACAAATGTAGATAAAAAGTACTGTCTATACCTATGTCAGTGGAAAAAAATGCAGTCAGCTTGTTGAAATCTGTAGAAAGCTGATAGTGGTACAGCTACAGGTTTTGTTTTGCTGCCCTAATTAAATGAAAATTCTCAACAGAACTCATTATAGTTTTATCTAAAACGGGAATATTGGAGTGACGTGAAGTTTTGAATGTGTTAGACTAAATCCTAGGAAATGTGGATAGTAAACCCCTACATTTTCTTTTGATGACAAAGGCATTGTTTACATACACACACACACATATATATAAAAATATGTATATAAAATAACAGGTGGTAATGTATTTAGGCATACTGCATTGGACTTGTGCTTTGTGCATTCCTTGATAGCTGTGTATTCACTGTTGTTGTAGAGTCATGGACAACACTGTATCGCTAGACATCATCAGCCCAGCTTTTACAGACGTTCATATGCGTTATCAAGAGACTGACAGGAGGTTATCCGGCTCAGTATCTTCACCCTCTGCAGGGACCTTGGGATATCTCATTGAAATGGACACTGACATTCTCACGGCAAAAGTTTACTACCGAACTCAGGTAAGCTTGATATATGCAATAAAAAGCACAAAGTTGGGCATGGTCAGAGGAAAAGTTCCCTTTGAAAGTTTGTGCATGTGTATGTTAAGATATAAATTAACCACCCTTTTGTCCAAAAAAAATTATATTATCGGTAATTAAAATTTTTGTTTCATACACTGGCCTTTCCCATACTAAATGTAGCATCTGCGTGAAGCTGTTTCAGCTCCTCCACACAATTAATTTTGCCCTTTACTATGATCAAGAACACACACCCACTGAACGTGAAGAAAGTACAAATACAGTTTTAAATAAGCCACCCATCAGGTTTAATGTGTACCCATCAGGCTACTACAATTATTACAAAAGTGACCATTATAGGAAACAGGCCACTGGAAGAGGTCAGACCATCTGTAGAGTGTGTTTTTTAATCCATTAATATATCATAATACATTACGAGAATTAAAAACCTTACTAGATTTGTTAACAAAACATGCTATTATTATTGGCATACTACAGTAATATCAAACTTTAAATCTTACCTTTCAAAATTTTATACTAATGTCAGAATCACAAGCAACTGATAATTCACTATTTACAACTGAAAACTGGAAAATTTGTTTACGTAAATAGATTCTCATTTGAAGATCTTTAATTACTCTAACTCTCTAAATTGTCTCATTGATTTAAATGATGACAAAATTAAATCCTTTAATATTTTCATATGAAGAAAATGCTTTTTGAATTCACTTTAAAGGATCTCCAGGATGAGTAGAAGGCCCATTTTCCCAAGTAATTCACATGCCTTACGAGACATGATAGGCATTTAATACAAATGAAGGAAAAATCGTATTTGCGGTCAAATTTTCAAAAAGACCAGACTAAGTTATGTTCTGGTCCTGCTGTTTGAAGAGGCACAAGGTATCTTGGTATGATATAATTTCTTCCAAAATAACCTTTCAAGATGAAAACAAACCTACAGTGGACAAAAAATTGTAGTGTGTTTGTCCTAATATGTAATAAAATTAAAGATGCAAAGATGAGAGTGTTGAAATATAGTCATAAATATTATCGGATTTGTTTTCTATACATGCTACATTTTTCTTATCCTGTTCTATATTTTCAGTCTGCTCCTCAGAAGGACATCGACATATTAAAAAGTGAAATATCCTTCAAGAAACCTGAGCAGATTCAAATGAAATTCAACTGGAAAGAGGATGCTGCCAAAGACTTGCTGTTGGGTCTAAAAGAAAAAGTATCTAAAATGACAAATGCAGGTTATAGGTATGTTAATCGATATCATAAGGAGCATATGGGACTGGAAATTAGTGCTGCCACCTTAAAAATGAAGAATATCATTCAGAATAATGCTGACAAAGCATACACATTTGCTGTAAAACGAATAGATCAAATAGATGCTCAGCTTCGCACAGCTGCTAATGAGGCCTCTGGCAAATATCAAGAGATGAAGGTCAAAGCTAAACAGCTGTATCAAGAAGCAGCAGATCAAGCTGAACAGTTTGACTATCAAAGAATAAAAGCAAAGCTTTTGGATGCTACAATTCATGTAATAGAAGAGTATCACAAGAGAATAAAACACCTAATTGACTCAGCCATTGAATTCCTGAAGACCACAAAATTCCAGGTCCCTGGGCTGTCTGAAAAGTACACTGGTGAGGAAATATACCTGATGACTACAGAGAAGGTAGCAAAAAGTGCTGATTTATGTCTTTCAAAACTTCAGGAGTATTTTGATGCCTTGATTACAGCTATCAATGAGCTGGAAGTCAGAGTTCCTGCTTCTGAAACAATTCTTAGAGGTCGTAATGTACTTGATCAAATTAAAGAAATGCTGAAACATTTGCAGGAAAAAATCAGGCAGACATTTGCTACTCTCCGGGAAGCTGACTTTGCAGGAAGGCTTAAGCAGCTGAAACAAGTAGTGCAACAAGTTTTTCAGAAGGTAGAAGAAATGGTTAGAAGCTTGCAGTCCAAAAATTTTGAAGACATCAAAGTCCAAACACAACAGCTGTACAAAGATGCAATGGCTTCAGACTATGCACAGAAACTGAGATCCTTGGCAGAAGATGTTAAAAAATACATTTCTCAGTTTAAAGATTTTAGTCAGAAGACGTTCCAGGACCTCTCAGAAAAGCTGCGCCAGCTGCTCCTCTATGTAAAGGCATTGTGGGAGGAATATTTTGATCTAACTACACTTGGATGTTCGGTGAAATACTACGAGGTGGAAGACAAGATACTAGGATGGCTGAAGAATCTAATAGATACACTAGTGGATTGGCACAACAAGTATATTGGAGATCTTGCTGACTCAGTTACACGCCTAACAGACCAAGCAAGAGAGCTGGTGGAAAACTACAGCCAGGAATACTATGACCTTATAACTGATGTTGAAGGAAAAGGAAAACAGAAGGTCATGGAGCTGTCATCTGCTGCTCAGGAAAAAATCCGATATTGGTCTGCAGCTGCTAAGAGGAAAATCAATGAATATAACAAGCAAGTCAAAGAAAAACTCCAGGAGATCTATGGGCAGCTTAGTCATTCCCATATATAGCTGTTCGTCAAGGAGAGCTTAGAATAGATGTGCCCAAGCCATTTGACTGGCAGTCCATATACCAAATGCCCCAAAAAAGCAGAGAAGCCCTCGGAAAAAAAGTGGAACTAACACTCACGCTGATTCAGCAAGGCATTGAGCAAGGCTCAAGGAAGTGGGAAGAAATGCAAAGATTCATTGACGAACAACTTGCCACTGAGCAACTGAGCCTTCAGCAGATTATGGAAAATATACAGCAGCGCATGAAGACCTGAATGGACATGCAGAAGAGGAGAAGTTCTAAGTTTGTACCACAATATATTTAAAAATAACAGCAATCAACATACTGGAGCTTCAGGTAGATACTGTTTGAATCTGAATTTGTAAGTGAAAACTAAATAATCTGTATTAGGTTATTTGAATAAACTTAATAAGCCAATAAATGAGTTCTTTATTGCATTTTTGTGTCAGCTGCTACTTTTACTTGGACTATAGGGCTTATTGCAAGTTGTCAAGGTCAGTGGGAAGTCTTTGCTTTGATTTCGCTGTGTGTTGGATCAAGCCAATAATGTGCAATACATATTATAAATAGTCAAAAAAGCTATGGAATGCATAGAATAAACAGGTTTTAAGATACAGGTCACATTCATAAGCCAGTTGAAGAATAGCTTGGAAACACATCTATTTCCCAACATAGAAAGACCTTCATAGATATCTTTGGGAGAAAAAGAAGAGGAAAGGAGCATGTAGAAAAATATGAAGGAAAAAAGTAATAAATTATGAAAAATAACATCAAAAAGTGAAAAAAAACATAGAAATATAAACATATATTGAAATCTGGCTCCTGGAATACTGCAGGTAATAATACCAATGTTCTGTTAAGAAAATTAAATTTATGCATGTATCAGTTTTGAGAAAACTGTGCTAAGTACTTTAGATGGGTTTTCTTTCTACTGGCTAGTTTACGAGTCAGAAATACAGGGTTTTCTTCCCTGTTTCCCCATGATATTTCTGTTTGTACATCAAATTGTCTAACTTTCAGTTATTGCAAATTTAGTTAACTGTCAAAGTTTCACTGACATCACTGAATATGATGGGAATCAAAAAGTTTTCCCTTCAGTCTCCTAGGCTGAAGCCTAGACCTCATTTAAATGAATTGTCATGTTAAAGATGAATTTAAATAATGTTGAAGAATTCACTCACGAAACAGGACTTCTTTTGAGTGGAAAATCAAAAACCTGTTGAGGTCCACACACCTGTTACGGTTTATTTTCAACTGTTGGAATACTATGTAGGTAGTCCTTGAGAAAGGCATGCTCAAGCTGAAGTAATGTTGCCTCTTTGAGAATAAACTCTTTAACAAACAACACTAGGTATTTTGTGTACATGTCTGTTTTGGTACAGTCGGTTCACTCTGTAATGTGGTTGTTGTTTGTTCATTAATGTGAAAACAGAGAGTCTGGTTTCATCCCATGGTATGATTGGGCACATACGTGAAGCAATGGAGCACCAGTTTACAAATACCCGAAAAAGTTTTGTGGCAGCAGATACATTTTTACAGCACAGAGCAGCACAATGCAAAGATGCTAGCTCAGGTCCTGGAAACGGGAGAGCCCAGTGCCGGTGTTGAGTTTATGCAGCAATAACACTCCCATCTCCACAGCTGGTCCACACCAATCTAGCAAGATCTCAGAGCAAGTTGGGCTAACAACTTTGATATCCCTGGTGCCAGATAATATTATTACCCAAGTAGGTCTGCCAGTAATGATTTTTCTCGGATGAGCTACATTAGCCCCCAAATCAGAATCTGCCAAGTGCAGTAGTATACACACACCTGTCTAGCTGTCAGCAGAGTGGGTATCTCTTAGAAAGTAAAGTAAATCCATTTTCTCTTTAGAGCTTTCAGCCGTCGCAAATACAGCAATAATTCTCAGATAATGAGATGGAGCAGTCCCCTGTGAACTGTAAAATAAGGAGTTTTCATTCTGAATAGAACTAATCTCCGTATGTCACCCTGCCCAGGGGATCAAGAGGTATAAAAAAGCCTGTTTACATGTCCTACTGAGCATCCTGGTAAATAAAGATGTTGGCTGCAGAGCCCTTTCACCTTCATTCACAAGGAAGCTGAAGCCTGTGGGTCATCTGATCCTGATTTGATGTCATATTGCACAACTCGTTTCCCTGAATTTTACAAATGTTTAAGCACAACCAGATTTCTCAGACACTGTCTGATTCTTGATTCCCTTCGTCATGACTAATAGCCCTGTGAAACGCAGGACAATAGAAATTACAAAAGTTATGGGAGAAGAGAGATTTAAAGTTTTGTTTTCTTTTGTTTTCTCCCTCATGGCTATTTATTTCTGTCCATCATCCATAGTTCTTGGGAGGGTTATAAATTCTAAAAAAGGATTTACTTATAAGGAATGGGTTAACTGAATAATAAATACACCAAATAGCATAAATACAGGCTCTCTTTGGCAAGAGTGGAGCTTCCCAAGAGCAAACACAATAGTTTGCACGCTAAACTGTGGTTAGAGGTTAGAGGAGATTTCCAAGTCTCATAGCAGCGTCGCCGCCAATTGGATTAAAGCTCTCAATCCTGTCAGCAGTGTGACAGCCATCTTGCAGTCATCCCACAGTACGTTTTGGGAGGGCCTGGAAGCAGAACATTGCTCTCAGAAATGAGATCTTGCTGGCACTTATCTGTTGTTAAATCTCCACGCCAGAGAGGCCATCTCAAGCACCCGTTTGAAACTCAGGCAATGTTTTGACACAGGAAAGGTGTGTGTGTTTGCATGTGTGCGTAGGTACGTCCCATCAGCACATACAACCAGGTGTAACTTCAATTCCCATGGCTTTTCCTGTTGGTTGTTTATTGGTTTGTTTTTCTGTCTGGTTCCAGCAAATTTGAGCCTTGTTTTCCATGTAATAAGTTACAGAAATGTCGACAAAGCCACAATTACTCAAATGATGCTGCAATTCACTCCACTTATGAAACATTTGCAATATAATCATTTAAAATATTATTAGTTCTATTTTGGCCTCTTTTTCAGTCTATTTTATACACTAAGAAATGTTATATTAAATTTAATTGTGTGGGAGATGATAACTGGGAATCAGCAACTATCTCGGGCTTAGTGACACTGTTTCTTTTTCTTTTTTGCTATAGTCTTCATCGGCCAAATTCTCATAAATGCCAGAGGGGCTTTTCTTTATAATTTACAGCAAGTATCAGACATAGAGCAGAACTGGTTGTAAAAGTTTAATTAAGTGAAACATTTTAACAAGAAATTCAGAGAACAGTATGCCCTGCTCTAAGTAAGTGATTGTAGAAATAGCATTGACAAGAAATGTGTGTGTTCCTAAATGAAAAACTTTTGCAGACGTAGGACGTAGGACAAAATGTTCCAGAATTTTAGATTATGCAACTAACGAGAGCCGATCTTTTATTAGGTGGTGTAAAAATACGTGTATAATTTGCTGCATGTATGGAGATTCTACACATGCATCCACATCCACACACACGGTACGGTACATCATCCATCTCTGGCTCTAAATTATGCTATTGATACTTTTAGAGCAACTGTCATTATGGCCTACTGATACTTTACAAAGTTTGTATTGAAACATTTAGTTGTTCAGTAAGTGACACCAAATTTTGTACTACTCCTCTGCTGGCAGATTTATTGTTCATATGGGAAACCAGAATTTATTAAAGGCCGTACGGACATACAGAATTGCTTGTATTCTGTTTCTACACAGCCAAATCCTGGCCTAAATGAAATCAATGGCAAAATGTCTATTGGTCTCAGCAGGAGTAGGCTTTGGCCAGTTATGTGTATAACTTGAGAAGCACTTTGGGATCTTGTAGGACAAAGGCTATATTATTATCTATAAAAATCTGCACAAAAATATCTTTGAAAAATCATGCAGACAGGATAAATAATCACTAACAAATTCAAGACAGGCCAGAATGAAGGTTACCTGCACAACACTAACCAGAGCCTCTTTATCTATTTTTACCCAGTTTTACCTAGTATCACAGGGAAAGTCTGCCAGGGGCAAGAATCCTGTGTTCTAGTCCCATATTTAAACTCGAAAATTTCCATATACCTCTCATCAGCCCTTCCCTCATTTTATTATCCATCCAAGGCATTAAGGGAAACTGGGACCCTGTAGAACAAAAGTGTATATTGGAGGTTTGCAAGACACAAATGGGCAAAGTCTTGAGCAGCCCAGTCTGAGTTCAAGGTTGTCCCTGCTTTGAGCAGGAGGTTGTACTAGATGTTGACCTCCCAAGGTCCCTTTCAACCTAAGTTGCTCTGTGATTCTTTGTGACTAAAGTGGTGTGGCTTTAGGTTACTGTACTTAACACCATACTTACCCTTTGGTAAATGGTTTGTGAGCAATTGGCTTCATCATCATTCTAATATATCATTATATAAAGGCAGAGAAGTTTTATGGTATCTCTGCAAGTAAATGCATTGTCATTCTGATTGCAACCGTGATGCGTAGGTCCCCATGCCAAACTCAGATGCCACCACCAATCTGAATACTTGCTGTCACTAGCCACCACTGTTTTGGCATCATCAAACACCACACATGTACGTATCAGTGTATTTCTGATAAAACCTTTATATCCACCATTCAACAGTTCAGTTAGAGGACTGCTGGCAGTGTTGAATGCTGCCGAACTGGTGTGATGAAGCACATTTCAATAGCCGGAAACCGAAATACGTGTGGTCAAGGCAAACTCGATCACATCCATCTATCTTTTGTCTCTTAATAACCAGTCATGGCTGAACTAAGGGGAAGTAGGTGTCAGGGCAAGTTTGCTAGGAGGCTTGATCTGCTGTCTTTAGATTGACAGGAAAATATTACAACAGCTCTTCCACCATGTTTCTATTCCAGCTGTCTTCTCTCCAGGAAATAGCTTCATCCTTAACCATACATAAAACACACAAAACCCCTGGCAAACTGCATGGTTCCCAGGGTATTACCTGCCAGCTATCTGATATTATTCTTTGGTATAATACATAATTTCCTGTGACCCTCAGTGCCTGTGATACTCAATGTATCAACCTGGACCATCATCTGCAGAAATATTCCTTAGTTTTTCTTTAATATTTCTGGGTTCCAGGCCCACCAGAATCTGTGACACCAGGAGATTTCAAACCTGGTTTAATTTATAGGGTTGGAAACCTTTTCTTTCACCTACTCTTGTACAAGAAGCAACACTTCATTGTTTCTCTTACTGATGAGAAAGTCTCTGCAGTGGGGACAGGCCAAGGCTTGCTCTGTACCTTC